ATGTGATTTTAAACAGATTTTCTAGAGATTCCTTAACAACTTCCCCATCACTGAATGGTTTTTAATTTTTACATTAAAAAATGACTTATTTCATAGCCTGCAACGGAAGCACTTTATTTTTCGATATTGCCCTTTTGCAGCATGCTTTCCAACTAACTTATGTTTCAATACTTTTGCTTTTTTCTTTGCGTACCTTGTAGACAAACTGATTATGCATTTTTGAATGTTTTTAATTATTGTGTCTACTTAAATTTTATTCTATGTATACTCGCACCAAATTAAATTCACCAAATAAGTGTTTTTTTAACGTTTGCTGTTAAACACACCACATATTTTGTCATTTTTTGTTATGTTAAAGAATATACTGTTTTGTCAAAATTTGCAAATAAGAAAGAAAATTGGAAATATTTTTTAAAAAAAGATTGCATTTCTTAGTAATTTAGTCATGGTTGGTTATGTTATTACCAAATCTTTATGTAACTGAAGGGCCAGACAAATGGCCGCTAGGAGACCGATACCGCCTGCAGGCCTTATTGTAGCCACCCCTAATTTAAAGTATAATAAAACTAGACAACTAATTTAAACTTCATATAACTAAGTTTTACGTATGTCAAGTAAGTTTACTATTTATATACTTAAAATAATAATAAGTTTAGATAACTCATTGCAAATAAAGAGTAAATAATTGTTATTTAAATAGATATTTAAATTCATCATATAATCATTTAACTATTTGTAGTATTTCATTGACTGTGTGAAATAATACAATATTTTTAACATCACACTAGTTAGTATTATAAATTATTAAAAAATTAGTTAAAAATAAGAATTTGTTTATACAGTAGTAAACAACTTAGATAAGTAGATATCAATGTATAGAACAAGTAGATTTCAATGTATAGTCACCAAAATAGTTCAAATAGTCCAACAGTATATATCAATGAATCTGACTACAAGTGTTACATTATTTTAAAAATATTATGTTTAACTTGTTTGGTTAACCCAGGATTTTGCTATTCGATATAAATATACGCAGACCTTTCTTAATCTCTCATTCCATTTTAAATAGTTAAATAATTAAAAATGTTTAAGTAAATATATATTTTAAGATTTCTAGCTGTGCCACTGTATCTTACAAATTATAAGATATCTTTTTAAAACTTTATAGAGAACTTATCTATCAAGGTTTTCCTCAAGAATTAAAAATTGCAAAAATTATTTCAATTTTGAATAAAAATGACTTATTCAAAATATTGATATTTGTATTAGTGCTTTTTTTTATTTTTAAAGTTATCAGAACTAATTATGTACAATTACTTTATTTCCAATAGCCTTTTATATAAAATCAGTTTTATTCTTTAAAGAAAGCTCTGAACATGAAATATATAATTTATATGAGAATTCTTGAATTTTCTTGAAAAATCTCAAACAATTTTTTTAAGCTTTGAAAATTGTTATTTAACGTTAAGAAATGATTAAATTTTTCTGGCGTTTAATAACAGCATTTCAGAAAATGTTCTAGATGTTTTTCATAAAAGAGGTGTGTAAATTGTAAATTTTTGCTGATGGTTTTGCTGAAATTTTTAAACATATTAGTCGTTATCTCAAAACCAGCTAATGGAGACATACTAAAACATACTAAAACATAAAACACTTTTCTGCTACTAATGGGTCAAACCACATCCAAAGTCTCTTTAGCAATTTACTATATTTGCTGTTTAAATTTTTTTTGATAACTTCTTCTTAAATTATATGTGACACTTATAATTAGCTTCCATTCTCTCTTTGTTCCAAGATTATAAACCTGGTGAAATACTTATTTTTACCAGATCCCAGCTTTCAGCAAGAATTTGTTGCAGCGTTGGAGTTATACTTATTTTTGTAGTAGCAAGAAATTCAACATCTGCTTATAAAATTGAACATTAATTTTTGCAAGACGTCATTGCTCTCAAAATTTTGTGGTCTGTTTGATTTGATATGTAATCTGCGATTACCTTTTGGTATGCATTGAGTGTGTTATGGATAAGGTTTTCGGCAATATTTCCGCATATATAGTTCCACTTTGTCCAGTGGAATCTGTTATTTTATTCCCCTTTTTTAGTTTTTTTTTTTTTTAATTTGTTTCAGGAATATTGTCTTGCTGTTTATCTTTGATGTTATCCAAGTTAAGTTACCGGCAGTCATTTAGACAACTATCTTCGTAGAATAATCAAATCTTCTAAGAGAACCATGTTATCCTTCAATGGACCTAACATTTGAATATGCAATTTAATTTTTAGTTAGACTATGCCTAATTTTGTCTTATTTTAATCTTTAGTTTGAAACTTAGTCAAGAAATATTTCCTGCGTTTAAATAAAATCCTTGTTATGTTAAAAACTGTTTGTATTTTATCACATTGCTCCATTGAAAAGTCTCAAAAATCAATATATGCACTTCTAAGATCTTGATAAATCAAAGAAGCCTTTCTGTTTTGATTTATGGACAATAGTTTTTAGTATATAGAGTATATATAGGGTAATGAGGAGCAAAATGAGACAGCGGGGCAATACAAGACAGTTTGCGTTCAACATAATGCCACCCCTACAAATTATTATTTGCAAGATTTTTAAAAGTGCAGTTGTGTTCAAAAACTATTTTGTGTCAAGAAAAATATATTGAGTCACTTTGAAATAAAAAAGTTGAGTAAAAGGGGAGTCATTTCATCCCTCGGCTTCGCGAAAATTACGAATTTTTAAGAGTTGTTATATTTTATCCTAGCCTTTTTTGATCTCACTGAGTGGAAAAGCGTTTTATATTTAAAGTTTTTTTTTAATTAAAATCTTTAGGCCTTTTCCTTTCATTTCCATTCTTTGGTATTTTATTTCTTCAATAACATAGTCTGGAAATTAGGCTATTCGATGCCAACAAGATGCGGGGCAAAACGAGACATTCTGTTTTTTTTTTTTTTTTTTTTTTGCCGATATCTAATATTATGTTTATTTAATTTTTAAAATTAAAACAACAACCAAAGCAAATATTAACATTTACATGCTGTAGATTTAAGTTTATTATACTGTATTTACTTACTTTTTATTTTGTTAATTGAAATGTTTAGTTGTTATCCAATATAGAATTACGTTTTATATTTTGTTAACTTATATTTAAATATAATAAATATTTAATCAAATTGAAGCAAATAATTGCCTGATGTTTATAATTGCTATGTTTATATTTTATAATCTTATTGTATTGTAATGTAATAAAGTAAGTAGTATATAAAATATATAGTAAGTAGATTATAACATAGGTTATTGCAGTACCTATAAACAAAATACAATGAATGTTATGCGTGCTTTAAATACATAAGTTTAATATAAGCATCTATGGTTTTATTAGTTTTTGTAGTGGATATATATATATATATATATATATATATATATATATATATATATATATATATATATATATATATATATATATATATATATATATATATATATATATATATATATATATATATATATATAGTGGAGTCAATTACTGGTAATACTGGTTAAGCAATATGTGATTTATGTGACTAGTGACAGTTTGATTATAGCTGTAATATATTATAAAATGTATTTCTTGCTAATCCTCTTAAAGATATGTTTTTTTTAACTTTATTTATTTAAATTACTAAAAAAAAAAATCTGTCTCATTTTGCCCCGGTATGCGGGGCAAAATGAGACAAGATAGGTGCTGTCAATAAATGATCTATGATCTCTGGTGACCATACTACTGCAGTTTTGCAACTCCTACTTTTTAGGCTTCAAGTAGGATCCTAGAAGAATTGAAAAATATCAATTTTTTTTTTCAAAAGTTGTTAGACGGGCCGTATTAGATATATTAGCGCTTAAGTGTCTCATTTTGCCCCTCGTTACACTATATATTATAAAAACTTTACAGAGTAACAGGTAAAACCAAAGAAAGAGAGCATGTAAAAGCGTTACCACTCATGATAGCTTAATATGATTCTCTTAATGACCAATCAAATATTTTTCTCACAAGGGAACAATGTTAACATTTATTGCAAATTAAAAAACATCAAAAGTGCACGGTGGTGTATTGACTAATAATTACATATTTAGAATGCATTATCCTGGCATGGTAAAAATGCCAAAAATAAGAAGTGCTTGTAAATCAAGACTGGTTTGAAACATTGACTAAATAAAAATCAGTAAAATTTTTGGAGCCTTTCCTTATTTTATAAAAAACTACTAGTAACTGCTTACACAAACACATACAGGTTTCAAAATTAAAAGAGGTTTTAGCTGTAAGCAAAAGTTTTACTAATCCAAAATATTTTGTTGAATGTAATCTTGACAATTTTCTTTGAGTGAAGACGATTATGAACTCAATAATGCTACAGAAGTAGTAAAAAACAATATTGTAGCTAATAATGCTGCAAAAATAGTGATGTTTTTAAGTTATGGAAGAAGTGAGATACTGAATCAGACAAATAAACAAAATAATAATTATTTTGTTGTTTTTGTACATTTTGTAATGTATACAAATTTGATATTTGTTACCCCGATATTTCATATTAATGATCCACTTTATAAAATGACAAATTTCTGATATTTTTGTTAATATTGTTTTCCTCACAAATAAATTTATATTTTTTCATTTTAGTATTATATACATATAAATAAATGTTACTGACTTAAAAGTTATAAGATAAAAATGTTGATTTTAGTTTTACAAAAAAAATGCAGATATATTATTATTGGTATTCCATATTTGTATCTTTTCTTCTGAATTACAAAAATAACAATGAAAAAAAAAAAAAATTCAGTTTATAGTCAAGCAACTGCATTTTAGTTAAATATAGCTACCCCATTATATTGTAATAAATTTCTAATTATTTTCTATGCTTTAAAATATTTCTATATTGTAATATATGTAAATATTTATAATGTTAAACTATTTTTATAATTCGCGTAAATTAAAAAAAAAATAATGCAGAAACCCTTTTTTTTAGAAACGTAAATAGTTATTGGTCAGGTCCTTGAAGATTTAATCAAAAAATGCTGTCAGGAATGAATACTTTGGCTAGAAGTTGATTTAAAAATTATATTTTGTTAATCAAATGACGAGTTAAAGTTGAGTTAAAGACTTTTTAAATCATTAATTTGCATGAAACTTTACTTTATTTCAATTTTTATTTATTTAAAAGTTCATTTTTTAAGTTTAAACTGTTTATTTATATTTACTCTTCGTAAGTTTTTTGTTTAATGTTTCTTATTTTTCATTCAGAAATCAAGTTTTAAATTTAATTAATCAAAATATTTGTTTTGTTGGAAATGTTGTATTCGGTTTATAAAAAATAATCTTCCTCATAATTTTAAAATAATCTTAGTTTTAAATATAATATTATGTTAATATCATATTTACAGTTTACCATCATTTTAACAAAATAGTATTTATTGTATTGTTTAATATTTATGAATTCATTTTTGTTTCAACCTTTTTTTAAATATTTGCTGACAAATGTTCAATATTAGGCTATTGTGAAAATATGTTAATATGTTCGTTTTGACTGCAGAACCAGTTATTCTTAATATAAAGTTTTTTTGATTTTTTGTAAGTGTGAAATTTTATAACAAATCACACCCAGTCAATTAACGTGCATGGGTCCCGTAAGAGACCTATGTAGGCTTGGATATGGAACTACACGGGTATCACAGAGTTGTCTGAGGACACTGTATGGGAGCCATAATGTCTACCCATTTGGATCCTCAGCATTGTGATGGCTGTCCGATGGAATATAATTCTTACCAAAGTCTTATAAAAGATATTAAAAAATCTCATTAAATTAAATTAAATTTGATAAAGTCGAAAGTATTTTAATAACTGAGCCTAATTGTCAAAAAAACACAAAAAAACAAACAAACAAACAAATTGCAACCCTACATTACAAAATTTGTTTAAGATTTATAACTTAACAAGCAAAATTTTTTTTGTCCTTACGTTTACTTAAAGAGTTATTGAGGTTTGATGTAAACACAATGTTCTTTAATATATTAGAAATTAGGAAATTTGGCGCAAATGTTGAGAGACAAAACTTAAGTAAAGATTTTTATTTATTTAGGATTTACAGCATTCTGAAGTTTGTTTATTTTTCGCTAAGAAATGAGGGGGAAAGTCCAAAAAATGTTTTCGTTAATTATCAACCTAATATGATGCATTTAGTTATACTGCGATTCTGAAACTTGGTACAAAACGAACCAAAGTCCAAAGTCTAAAACCTGCTAACCCAAAGTCTAAAACCTGCTAAGTCCAAAAACATTAGTTTTGTATCTGTCGAAGCAAGGTTATGTAGTTTATTCTAGGATTCATAAAATGACAAAACGGCATTGACAATTATAGCTATAAAAAAATTGATACAAAAAAAAATTATTTTTCTTTTGTTAATGAATACATTTATAACTAAACGAAGCAAAAATTTTTTTGTCCTTACGTTTACTTGAGGAGTTATTAAGGTTTGATGTGAACACAATATTTTTGATATATTAAAAATCAAGAATTTTATTCCAATTTTTTACAAATTAATTAAATTAGAAATTATTAGTTTGGTAATTTTATTTTTTTTATTAATTTTTTCCAACAAAAATAATAAGGTATAAAAAAACTAATTGAAAAATAAATACTTAATTGAAATTATTTTATATACGCTTTTTATTCACATTAATTCATAAACTGTGCAAAAAATTAAAGATTAAAAAAAAGTATGGATAAGACTTATCAGGCTAAGCAAATTTTAAATTAGTTTAAATATGAAAATCTGTATTTCCTGAGGAAAACATTTTTTTAATTTGTCTTTGCACAAATAGAAGCAAAGTCCTATTTTTCAGTCGGTACTTAGACTTGGCAAATGGTGTGGACATCTGGAATTCAGTATTGAATATCCACTGATGGCCATTTAAACTATTGTGGAAGACCATTTAGAAAAAATTTAAAAGCTCATTTTCTTCTTCTAAAACAATGTCTTTAATGACTCCTATCCACCGCTTTTGTCCTAGGAAACACAGGCATAATCACCTGGTACTACGTTTACAGTTCTTACAGAAATCTTTCTTAAGTCGTGAATGAGAACAAACCTATCACAATGAGATGCCTATTTGCGCTTATTTAGATAAAAGAGCAACATATACATTTGTTCCGTTTTAACTGTTTAATTAAACATTTTTATTAAAAGCATTGAAAGAAAATTGTAGGCCTAAAATAAAACATAAAATCTTTTTGACAATAATTTCACACAAATAAAAAATCTATTTGAGTTTATCAATAAAATTTGCATAAAAAATGCGTGTTTTTTAACAATAGTAAAAGGTATATTAAATATATATATATTTTTTACTTTTTATAGCCAAGCGGTACAAACTAATGGTAACTACGTGTTCCAGGTAGAATATTTGCATCATCCAATTGTACCTTAAAAGTGTTTCTCACAAAACCTAAATTTTCTGGTAACATATAAATGAAATGTACACTTTCAATGTTTGCATTGCAATATTTTTGCATTGCTTGTAGAGATAAAATATGATAACCCATATCTTTTTGTAAGCTTGACAGCGTTTCTAAACGTTTGATTGTATCACCTATTACATCACAAGTTTGCTTACCATGACTAGTTGAAAAAAAGTTTAGCAAAAAGACCAAAATCATCAAGATTGAAACAAAGATTTAAAACATTTTTGCAATTTTTATATTGAGCTGCGCACCCATCTGAAAGGTATTCAATATTTTTGATTTGAGGTAAATTTGCTTCAATTTCAATGCTGACAATATCAATATATTTAAACACCATATTGGCATTATGTAACATATCGTCTGAAACAAAACAATAAGGTTTATGATTGAGAAAAACTACTTTTTTGAAATAAATAGTTACAGGATGAAGTGCTTATTGTAAATATGTCCAATGAAAACTTTTATAGTTTATCCTGAACTACAAATTTAACTCATGCTAACTTGTTTATATCATCTTTTTTTAGCTAAATACGAGTGTGATGCAAGTTTTGTCGGTTTTTTATATACTAGTTCAATGCATTCAGACACTGGCTCTTTATTATGCGTTAAGTTCAACCTACTAGTTGTTGTCCACTGATCGAATTCTACTTCATCGTAATCTTTAAATTCTTCAATTAAATTATATAGTTTTTCAACCAAGGTATATATAGTTGCTGGACATCTTTCACACGTTCCGCATCATTCAGTCTTTGTTAGTCATGTCACATACCATCCAAGGTAACATTTCTTTGTGTCACACCAAGAGGATGCAAAAGCAGTTTTAAATTCCGATGAATAGCACAGACGCTTACTGAGTGTGTTCCTAAAGCACCAATAGTTGTACGAGATTTTGATCGCAATCTGCAAAACCTTGAAAACCTATTTTTATTTCTGAATTCATGGTTTTAAAAGCAAAAAACAATTCAATTAAATTACATAAGAACAAACGTTTCTGCATGTGAAAATTTTTCTTTATGCTTACATTATTCTTTTTACCAGGCATTATACGGCTGTATTCATCATCTCGATAAAAAAACTTGACTAGTTGAACTGTTTTATCAGGAAGAATTTTTCCTAATTTAGAATTAGACATAGCTAAAATGACTTTTTTTAATGTTAATTTACGTGCAAATTTGTTTGAGAACAGCGGGTCAGCAGTGACTTATGTGATGGTTGGTATCATGTTAAATGTACAGAAATTCCAGATGGGGCTGATATTAAAGCCATTGAATGGATCTGCGAAATTTGCCTACAAACAATGTGAAAAAATATGTTTAACATCTGGAGCTTATATCGGATTCCTAGCAAGAAATTTAAGAGTTGATTGACCTGGGGGGATATCTAGCCTTTCTACAGTTTTAGATGTTGTTTTGGCAGTCCAATAATGTTTGACCAGTTTTATATCAAAATAAGTGGTGAACTTTAAACCCCAAACTTTGTCCAGATTTTCTTCTCTCCCTATTCTAGCTTAATTTGTAATGTAATCTCTATCTTCACTGAACTTTTTTTTTAGGCATAACTCAAATTCACTCTCGGTATCAGTTGCAGTCGTACCACTTTAAGATAATTCTCAAAATTTTCATTCTTTCTATATCCTCTACAGCTTTTTTCTTTGACATTTCTTGTTTTTTCTTTTTTATGTTGTTTTTCTCTGTGCATACTTTCTATCATATATAACATTCGCTTTTTCACGCCTATAATTTTTCTCAATAAGATTTATTCAAACTTAACCATTTAACCTTTGAATGCCTTCTTCAGGAAATCGATATCTTTTGTCTTTTTTTACTTGTCATTATTTTCGTAATCTTTTATAAGTATAAAGATGTCTATTTTAGAAACAAGAAAAATGCAGTTTGCTTCTTTTAAAAAACTCTGTTTTCTTTTTACATTGCTCTTCTTTGATCTTGTTTATTTTCATAAAGGTTCTAAGACTACACAGTTTCTTGTAGCGCATAAGATTTCTCAAGTTTCTTCTTCACTACTTGTTCTGTAACCCTAAATCTTGAATCAAACTCACCCTTGTCCCAAAGACTTAACAGCTCTTACAGAAGGCATGCTCCATTAAATTCCTCCCTGTTACTTTCTACCAATGCAAAGCATTGATTTTGATATTGTCTTTTGTGCACAGGATAGTTTTGCATTTTGATTAATCTTACATGACCTGAGCCAATATAATCGACGACAAAGTTCTCCCTGCGTGGATAATCTAAGCAAAACTCATAAAGAAAGAAAAAGTCTTTACATATTTGTTTCAAAAGTTTTTTACCTGAAAAAAGCTTTTTTAATTCATTATTTTATTTAAATCTTGAGATAATACCTGTTTGGTGCGAACATATAGTGTGGATGTATAAGTATGCAGATTGTTCTTTTACACCTATCAGTTCTCTGTAGAGCTAAACTTATGTTGCAAGAACCTAAGGTCCTTGGTTTACAGTCACAGCTAGTCCTAGGAGAGGTAAGTCTCATTGGAGGAGTACTTCTGCAACGTGTATTTATCAAGAAACTCTCT